CTTAGTTTCCTTGCCTGGGTCTACTTTGATAACAAAATACCACACTGGGTGGCTTAAACTACAGATCTTTATTTCTCATATTTCAGGAGGCCGGGAGGTCCAAGGTCAAGGCATCCTCAGATCCAGTGTCTGCTGTTTTCATTGTATCCTCACATGGCAGAGAGAGAGAGAGAGAGATCTCTGGTCTCTTCATCCCCTTATAAGGGCACAAATCCCATTCATGAGGGCTCCACACTCATGACCTAATTATTTCCTAGTATCATCATATTGGGAGTTAGGATTTCAACATATGGATTTGGGGGGAAACAGACATCAGTCCATTCTGCCCCTGGCCCCACAAAGTCCATGTCCTTCTCAAGTGCAAAATACATTCATTCCATCCCAATAGCCCCATAAGTGTTAACTCATCCCAGCAGCTACTCTAAAGCTCAAAGTCTTATCTACATACCAGCCGAATCAGGTATGGGTCAGATTCCAGGTACATTCATCCAGAGGCAAAAATCCTCTCCAGCTGTGAACCTGTGAAACTGCAAAAGTTATATGCTTCCAAAATACAAGGGGTGGGACACACATAGGGTAGATATTCCCATTCCAAAAGGAAGAAATAGGAAAGAAGGAAGGATTAGGCTCCCATGTAAGTCCAAAACTTAGCAAGGCAAATCTCACTGGATCTTAAGGCACAGGAATAATCCTCTTTGGTTCAATGCTCTACCCTCAAAACTTCCGAGGATTACAATGTCTCCCTGACTGCTCAGTGGGGCTATGCCCACACTGCAGCTCTCTACAGAGGCTTTATCCATTTTGCAGTTCTGCAGGGCAGAGTAGAACCCTCAGGGCTCTGCCAGGCAGGGGTCTCCCCACCTCAGCTCTGGGAGGTCCTATCCTCAGGGTTTTAGGTGGAGGTTGTCTGGCCTGTTGAAACCCAGGCAGTGACCCTGATGATCTCCGAATATCCTTCAGAGCCATTCTTCCCTTTTCTTGAAGAACAGCACAAGTTCGGGGTCAAATAGCTCAATCATCCTGTCTTGTAGAATCGAAGAACTCGGACAGCCCTCTTCAACTCTATCCCAACTCAGTGCAAACTGGCAGTGTTCCTGCCATCTTAGCTGATTCAGTCCATGGCTCACGTCTGTGCCAATCTCCTTATCACATGGGTGCTGGTCCACACCCTTAATGTTCTCATCCGCAACACACTTTCTCCTGTTTTTGCAACGGATAGGCTGAGAATTTTTTAAGTTCTGGTTCCTCTTTACTTAACAATTTCTTCTTCAATTCATTTCTCTCTTTTTGCATTTTACCATAAGCAGTCAGGAGAAACCACAGTTGTTAACTTCTATACTTCACTTAGAAATCTTAGCTAAATGTCCAATTTCATCACTTTTGTGTTCTACCTTCCACAAAACACTAGAACATGAACACAATTTAGCATTTTGTTAATTAGGCAATTATTTGAAATATTTCAGAAATATTTGAAAAAAATTTATTATAGGCAGGATATAGTTGTGTATGGCCTTTATAGCCATTCTTACCAACGCTGCTGTTAATTAGGATTTTAGATCACTTACCCTTAATATAATTATTGATATATTGATATAAGTTTAAATCTATAATCTTGCCACTTGGTTTTGTATTGTCCTCTTTGTTTCCTTTCTACTTTTTTTTTTTGCCTCCTTTGGATTAATTGAACATTTTTTTTATAACTCCATTTTATTTATTTGGCTGGCTCATTAGCTTTATTTTACTCTTTATTTTTTTTTTTTAATTTTATTCTGTTATGTTAGTCACCATACAATACATCATTAGTTTTTGATGTAGTGATCCACGATCCATTGTTTTCGTATAACACCCAGTGCTCCATGCAATACATGCCCTCCTTAATACCCGTCACTGGGCTAACCCATCCCCCCACCCCCCTCCCCTCTAAAACCCTCAGTTTGTTTCTCAGAGTTCATAGTCTCTCATGGTTCATCTCTCCCTACGATTTCCCTCCCTTCATTTTTCCCTTCCTTCTCCTAATGTCCTCCGTGTTATTCCTTATGTTCCACAAATAAGTGAAACCATATGATAATTGACTTTCTCTGCTTGACTTATTTCACTTAGCATAATCTCCTCCAGTCCCATCCATGTTGATGTAAAAGTTGGGTATTCATCCTGATGGCTGAGTAATATTCCATTGTATATATGGACCACATCTTCTTTATCCACTCATCTGTTGAAGGGCATTTCGGCTCTTTCCACAGTTTGGCTATTGCAGACATTGCTGCTATGAACGTTGGAGTGCATATGGCCTTTATTTTCACTACATCTGTGTCTTTAATTTCAGTGATTTCTTTAGGATTAAAAGCATATACATTTAACTTATCACTTTCTACTTTCTAGTGATATTATACACTGTACATATAAGGACCTTATAATAGTATGCCTCTGTTTTTTCCCTTTTCAATATTTGTGCAATTGTTATAATACATTTTACTTTTATATGTTATAAACCCACACTACATCATTATCTTTTGATTATTAATGATCTTTATGAGATTTAAATAGTAATAAAAACCATATATTTGCCTTTACAGTTACCATTTCTGGTACTTTACATTCCTTTGTGTACATTTATATCTCTATCTGGTATCATTTTCCTTCTGACTGAAGGACTTTCTTTAACATTTCTTATAGTGTGGGTCTACTGATGATTAATTCCTTAAGCTTTTTATATTTTTAAAAAGTATTTCTCTTTAGTTTTAAAATGTTTATTTGTTGAGTGTAGAATTCTAGGTTGACCTTTTTTTTCTTTCAGTGCTTTAAAAATGTTGTTCCACTGTCTTCTTACTTGGTGTCTTAGTCAGCTCAGACTGCTATAACAAAACTACCATAGATTGGGTGGCTCAAAAGTAACAGAGATTTATTTCTCACAGTTCTGGGGCTGGATATCTGAGATCATGGTGCCATCATGGTGGGATTATGGTGAGGGACCTCTTCTGCCTCGCAGATTTCTCATTGTGTCCTCACATGGTGAAAGGGAGCAAGGGAGCTCTCTGGGGTCTCTTTTATAAGGGCGCTAATCCCATGACCTAATCACCTCCCAAAGGCCCCACCTCCTAATACCATCATCTTGGGGATTAGGTTTCAGTGTACAGCTTTTGGGGAAACATTCACTAGCACTTGAATTGTTTTTGACAAGAAGTCTGCTGACATCCTTATTTCTGTTCCTCCACATATAACATGTCCTTTCTCTGACTACTTTTAAAATTTCTATCACTGGTTTTGAGCCTTGGTATGGTTTTCTTCATATTTTTGTGGCTGGAGTTCATTGAGATTCTTGGCTGTCTGTGTTTATAGTTTTCATCAAATTTGGAAAAATTTCAGCCACTATTTCATCAAACATTTTTCTGTTGTGCCTCCTTTCCCTCCTTTAGTGATTCCAATTATATGTGTGTTAGGCTGCTCAATCTTGTCCCATAGCTCACTAAAGCTTTGTTAAGTTTTTATCCTCTTTTCTCTTTGTTTCATATATTGATATATCTTCAAGTTCACTGACCTTTTTTTCTGCAAATCTAATCTACTATTAATCTAATCCAGTGTATCTTTCATTTCACATATTGTAAATCCATCTCAAGTTTGACTTGACTCTTTTTATATCATTCATGTATCCATTTGAATTCTTGAATATCTATAGTTAAAATACAGCTATAATACAAGTATAATAACTGTTACAATGCTCATTTCTGCTAAATTTAATATTTGTGTCAATTATGTGTCAATGAGGATTGATTGAATTATATTTTCTTTCTGAAGAAATGTTTCTCTATTTTTTTGCATTCCTAATTTTTTCCTAACAGCTTTTTTGAGATATAATTCACATACCATAAAAGTCAATGCTTTTAAAGTGTGCAATTCCATGGCTTTTAGTATATTCACAGAATTACACAACCCCAACCATTATCTAATTTTAGAACATTCACCATCATTCCCAAAATAAATTTTATACCCCGTAGCAGTCATTCCCCATTCTTTCCCAAACCTACGCTACCCCTGGCAACCACTAATCTACTTTCTGTCTCCCTGGATTTGCCTATTCTGGAAATTTCATAAAAAGGGAAGGATAAGTATGTAATATTTTGTGATTGGATTCTTTGACTTAGTATAATATTTTCAAGATTTATCCAAGTTAACATGTATTAGTACTTCATTTCTTTCTATTGTTGAATAATAATCTCTTTGGTATTATTCAACATATTTTGTTTATCCATTCACCCATTGATGGATATTTGGGTCATTCATATTGAAAAAATTTTATTAGGTGTATAACATTATGAATTTTACTTTATTGAGTACCGAATATTTTTACTCCTGTAAATATTCTGACTTTTGGTCTGGGATGCAGTTAAGTTACTTCATGACAATTTCATCTATATGAATTTTGCTTTTAATATTTGTTAGGCAATACCAGTGTGGTGTTCAATCTAGGCCTAATTATTCCCCACCACCAAGGTAAGACCCTGATGCACTGTATCCAATGCCCAGTGAATCTTGAGGTCTTCCAATCTGCCTGGTAGAACAGGGACTATTCCCAGCCCTGTGTAAATGCTGGGCACTGTGACCTCCAATCCATTCAGGTAGTTCTTTCCCTAGTTTCTGCCAGTTTCCTCCCATGCCTGCACAAATCTGCTCTGCTGAATACCCACTTAGGACCCTCTTCCAATCTGTTTTTGTTACTCTATCTCAGAGGAAAACAGATGTGCTAAGACCCATAATTTCAATGGTTTGAAATTTGAAATAATTTCCTTGGTAGCTGTGAAAGCTGCTGCATAGAGAAATGTAAGCTGTCTACATGTATATATGAGATGTCAATATTGATACCATATATTCCAGTCTTTTAGAAAAAGATTAGCAGTAGCTTTTGTTTCTTATGATAGATAACATGTTAATAACCATGCTTTTAGGAAATCCGTGTGTACCATTTGCCTCCTTGAATGTGGGAACATTTATGTCTCCTCTCACAGGTGATCAGCGAGTTTGAAGCCTCTCCTGACTCATTTTCCTACAGAATTCCCAACCTGAGTCGGAACCGTCAATACAGCGTGTGGGTGGTAGCCGTGACTTCAGCTGGAAGAGGCAACAGCAGTGAGATCATCATGGTGGAGCCATTAGCTAAAGGTGCGCCCCTGTAGTAAAGACCTCATTTCCCACTCTCACTGGACTGTTTTTAAATCCTTACTCTACCAGAAATAAAGCTTACAATGCCCTAAAAATCACCAGAAAATCAGAACATCATGTGCTTTCACATTTCAGCTTAAGAAATAAGGTTGCTGCTAGCTGGCACTGGGCTTTTGTGCAAATCAGAAAAGAATCCCCCTAGAAGTGAACACATCGCTAAGGGTTAGTGGTTTTACAACTCAAAGTATCTTAAGGAAAGTAAGGAAGAAGAGCCCACCCTCACCCCTTGGGTAGGTGAAAATCACTACATAGCAACTTACCAGCGAAGTCCTACTTTCATCAGAAGCAAGCATCAAACTTCTTAAAGAGAAAATATGGAATTTCGAAATTTATAAATATAAGAAAATATTTAGCTCTTCTTCTATTGATAGAATACTATAAACAAAGACTTTAATTAACAGTGGGAAGTCAGAGTCACCAAAGAATAAAAGTTCCTAAAAATGAATATAGAATCTACACATTGAGATGTTATACTGGTCCTAAAAAGCACATATAGGCACAGAATATTCTTATTCTACTTCTGATAATTGCTACCACCCAGTGTTTAGGGTACCACTAAATTAGCAGTTTGCATGAGTAAATGTACTAACATCACAATTCCAGGCCAGCAGGAGATACGCCCTGATTTTGGAATACACCACGTTGGCAATTTATTACTGACAAGGCTGCTAGATGCCTAAAAGAGAATGTAAGAGAACATTCCAAGATTCTAATTTTACCTTGAAGAGCTCTTGATAACATCTTATTAATGTGATAGCTACGAAAAAGAATGAAATAGTGAGGGGGAAAAAGAGAATCTTGTCCCATTTTGAACACAACTGCAGATAGAAAGTAAATACATTGTTGGTAAGGAAAATAAAATCATGGATTTTTTATTTTTTTGTCTATTGGACTCTTCAATTATGATATCCAGCCCCCCCAACACACACTCTCACATTAGAAAATAGTGATTATCAATGGGCATAAGGACTGTACCATGGGATAAAGGAAACCAGCAACATGAGATGCAGGATTAGTAATTGCTTTGCCTCCTCTCTACTTCTGTGTATTCAGTGTCAGGCAGGCAGTTGGGAAAGTCTTTTTTCTCAAGAGACATCTGGCAGAAGTCAGATTTGGAGAGGGTTCAGCACCCAGACACCCCCATACCTGGGATGGGAAGAACCTACCTGGAAGACAGAGTCAGGTCCAGGAGTAGCCCTAGGCCCAGGAGTAGTTCTGCAGAACATCAGCTTGCTCTGCAGAGGTAGAGGCATAAGGGCTGCCAGAGAGGAAAGGGTCAGGCCAGAGAGACAGGAGAAAAACCAGGAGGGCAAGGCCAAGAATTCAACAGACATGTTTTGGAAAAGAGGGAGTGGTCTGCCATGGCAGCAAATGCTGGGAGGTCAAGGAAACAAGACTAGAAGTGCCCTGGGGTTGGCCACTCAGGGGACCTCGCGGACCTTCTTGCGAGCAACTTCATGGGGATGGGAGCGGATGAGGGGACCGAGTGGCTGGGAGGTGAGGAAGCAGATCTACTTGCGGAAAGTTCTCTAAACACACATCACCTGGAAGAAGGCACAAGAAAGACAAGCTGGAGCGAGGGTGGGTCTCAGGCGAAGAAAGGCTCTGGTTTTGCCATGGGTTAATATGTCAGCCAGAAGAGAACGTTTGCATAACAATGGAAGACCCAAGTGGAGAGGGGGAAGTGATAATCTGGGAGGAAGAGCAGGCCCACAGGACTGCTGTTTAGAGGAAGAAACACCAGTGGGTTTATAGGTTTGGCGACAGGAAGTGCAGAGTTCCCAGCCTGTGTCTTCTGTTTCCTCTACCAAGTATTAGGCAATTGGGGGGTTGGGGGGGTGGAGGAGAAAAGATCAGGAGTTTGAGAAGAGGAAGGATGATTGGAAATCGTCACTGCAGAGACGTGGGAAGGGGCTTCCTAACAAAACGGTAAGCCTGGCAGGGAAAGTGGACAGTCCCGTCGAGGTCGGTGATTGTAAATCTATGGTGGGTCCTAAATTTCCATTGTATGGATTTCTCCAGAAATGTTCAGCGTCTCATGCTTAAGTGGGGTTCACCCAGATTTAGCGTTGATCCAGATGGGTTTTCTGGAAAGGGGCTGAGCTAGGGAAGGGCTCAGGCTTGGAGCAGATGTTCCAGCTGAAAGGCTCTACCCAGAAGCCTCAGACACTGGCAAACAATGAAGGCTGAAAGGTGCAATCTGGAGAGATGAGGCCACCGGCAGCCCAAAGAGACAGGTTCAAGTTATCCTGCAGTTGCTGGGAGATCGGCACAGGCAACAGCAATGGCAAATCTGTCAGCAGGTAGCGGAGTCCAAATTCCAGAGTTAGGGTCACAGAGAAGACTGCTGTTTAGTGAATGAAGTGGCAGAATGGAGTCATGAACCCAGTCCTGGAGGAACACCATCCCAAAGGAGCCCAGGGTTGGATTGGTTAGACTATTAGTCTATAGTATTAGACTATAGTCTAACCAATCTCAGGGTTGACTGAGAGAGAACCGCCACAGGGCTGAGGGCAGCGCAGGATCCAGAAGGGACGTCCAGGTTGCAAACGGACAGCGGTTTCTCAGAATCATTTGAGGTGCTTGTTAAAAGACAGACTCCCTGAATCCACCAAAGATTCACCGAGTCACAGGCCAGCGTAGGAATCTGCACTTCTAACAGAGATTCTAGATGATTCTCTTGCCTGCTCTTGTTTAAAAACCAGATCTGGTGGGTTCTATCGCTTAGTCTTGGAATTTCGGACGAGGACTCTAAATTCCTGTGCCACAAATGGGCATTAATTCTATAAACTGGGTGTGTTGGGCTTCAAGATGAAGTGGTTCTGGCCTATATTTCTCAAAATGCAGATGGGAAATTATTCATAAGTCCTGGAATTGGTTTTAAGGGTTATAGCCAGCATATTAAAGTACTAAAATGGAATAGAGTCAAATAGTCTAGACTGACTTGAAAAAAAATGAAACATGGTAAATATTAATTTGAGTCACTTTGTCTTCGCTCACACACAACCCACCATGTGTGTAGCTTCTGGGATTCAATGTGTTATGTGTTTCTTATGGTAGGGAGGGAGATGTTAAAAAGCTTGAAAGCCCTTAACTTTAGCTGGGTTTCCTAATCATCCCAGTTTTGCTGCAAAACATTCCTCATCATATAAAAGGATGGTTTGAAGGGTTTGAAATGGAAGATGCCAAACCACCAATGCCAGAAATCCGATGCTCCCTGACCAGGATATTTTTGTTATGATGAGAAATCAAAAACGTCACTTACTGAAAAAGTGGTCTTTGCCATCCATGAACCATCTCTGAAGACCCTGCTCCAAGAAGGAAAAGTTTGCTGTAATTCTTGCTTCACAAAATGGGCCCAGCTTCTGAACCCAATGGCATTTCATCCCTGTCTCAGCTCTGGCCCACAACACTCAGAACAATGAAAATAGGAGTTGTATGGTAGACCTTAATGACCAAGGTTTGTGTTCTAGGCCAGGATGCCTCTGTAATGACTTGGCTCCATCTTTCATGAAATTCCAGCACTTTCCTGGGGAGTCTGCTCCCGTGCCCATTGGCCAGTCCAAACCCTCAAGCCCCCGATGATTCAGGGTCCCAACATTGGTCCCATCCTTATGGGTCCAGAATCAGATTGGGGCAACCTTTCATATGTAGCCTCCATGACTTTGCATCTGGCCTGGTTGAGCTTCCAGAGGGATCATCCTTGAAGACAGTAACCCAGTGTATGGCTAAGATGGGGCACGTTGTTTTGCCTCTGGAAGACTGGGGTCTTGATGTCAGCTTCTGTGTCTCCCTCAAGAAGGTAACACTAAGAACCTGTCAGTGCTGGGCTCCTTAGTCTTCAAGGAGGTCCCGGCTCATGTAGGTCCACTTGGGCTTTTTCCTCTCTACTCCTGCTACTTCAGGACTGTGCCGGTGCCAGATGCCTCTGGCCAATGTTCCTGTTGGAGCATCTGAATCACTGTCCCAAGCAAACTGTTGTTCTTCAAGAGAAGCTGCTCAGAAAGCACTCATTTTCCTTAATGTTTGTGCTGAAGATCAAGATGACACAATAAAGTCAGGAACGTACCACAAAATTGATAAATAGAAGTTGTCCTGTGTTACTCGTCCTTCTTTTAGCACTTTATGCCTTGTATTGTCTATTCTCTCAGATATTAAAAGTGTATTTTAACATGCAGTTTTTGGTGTTGAGATAAATTGTTTAATAAAGGGCTGTGACAAATAATTGGGCTCATAGAAAACACAGCTTGGGGCTGCTGAGTTTATGAAGACCCAGATATTTAATTTGGCTTCCTCATGTTTAGTCAGTAGAGGGGAAAATGCTACCATAGGGATTTTCAGCTATATGTATGTTCTTTTTTTCTAATTTTATTTTATTATGTTATGTTAGTCACCATACAATACACCATTAGTTTTTGATGTGGTGATCCACAATCCATTGTTTTTGTATGACACCCAGTGCTCCATGCAGTACATGCCCTCCTTAATACCCATCACTGGGCTAACCCATCCCCCCACCCCCTTCCCCTCTAAAACCCTCAGTTTGTTTCTCAGAGTCCATAGTCTCTCATGGTTCGTCTCTCCTTCCGATTTCCCCACCTTCATTTTTCCCTTCCTTCTCCTAATGTCCTCCATGCTATTCCTTATGTTCCACAAATAAGTGAAACCATATGATAATTGACTTTCTCTGCTTGACTTATTTCACTTAGCATAATCTCCTCCAGTCCCATCCATGTTGATGCAAAAGTTGGGTATTCATCCTTTCTGATGGCTGAGTAATATTCCATTGTATATATGGACCACATCTTCTTTAACCATTCATCTGTTGAAGGGCATCTTGGCTCTTTCCACAGTTTGGCACCAAAAAATCCCTTATACATCTCCTGATACCAGAGAATAGTGTTGGCAGGGGTATCACTAATCAGCTGTGCAGCATTTACCCTTTTGGGGGAGTGTCACTATATGGGGGAAGGTCATTTTGGCTTTTATGTCAATGAGGCTGTGCCATGATTGGTCTTCTGCTGTGTTTGGCGCTCCAGCTCCAGCACGAATCCTGACCTTCAGTGGCACAGTGACTACTCCATGGATGAAGGACATCGCCTTGCCTTGTAAAGCTGTTGGGGACCCTTCACCTGCAGTAAAATGGATGAAAGACAGGTAACCAGTAACCTAATGTATGCTTTTAGCGAAACTGTAAGAGGTTACATCAGACATACCAGGTTGGATCTGGTGGTCTAATGCTGTATGCATTGCCATTCATGAAAATACCGGGAAACACCAACTCTTCTGAGATGGGAGAGGAGGTGGGGTGGGGGTGGAATCTTGGCTTTAGTGTTAAAAGGGTCTGGTGTGTTGCCTCTATCTTCTGTAAATTCAGAGCCTTTAAATTCATAACAGAATGCTTGCAAGGAAAATAGTCTAACCAATCCAATAATCTCTGTACTTTTTCATGTAAATTTCCTGTATTACTGAGATGATCATGCCCAACATCACAGGAGACCTGGCACCTGTCTTTCTCCTTCCAAGATAATAGTCCAACTAACCCTACTTCAAATGCTCTGAGAAATGACTTTAAGAGACGGAATGCATTAGGACTTAGTTAATATAAAATCTGGTTTTCCATACTCAATAGTAATTATTAAAATAATAGCAGCCAAGATAGGAGGCAGAAAGTGGGTGAGACGTATTCTATCCTGTAACTTTTCTAAGTGCTTTCTCTATGTTCAGAAGACAAAATTAGGATATAAATAAAGAGCTGACAATTCACTAATGAGCATGGAGGTTTGATATAAAATGGATTCAGAAGAGTGCCTATTTTAAACAAAAGCACTTAAAAGACATAAACTATTGAAATAATGGTCTTGGTCCAGGGACCACTTTTCTCGTCTTTTAAAATCAGTTAACCCAAGGAAATAAATAAGCTCCCAGGGTCAAGAGCCATTCTGCCTGATGTGGGGATGGCTGGACCGTTGCCACCATGGTGGCAGTTATAATGGGGAGGGAACTCTTTTGTTCTAGGACCAACACATGACCCTCTTGAGAGACCACAGTTCACTCTTTTGGGGTCAAAATCATTAACAACTGTAAATCTAAGTAAGTCCACAAGAGACTGCCACATTTAGTTGTCCCGATGTGATTGGGTCAAAATGGCATTTCTACCCCAGAAGGAATTCCCAAGAGGAGGTGGCTCGTGCCTACATGGTGGAGGAAGGAGAGGCCCATTCAGGATGTGGCATACATTGACATATGTGAGAGCCAGAATCCCAGCCTTTGGCACAGATCTAACCTCCACATAGCATGCTCTACAAAGAATGAAATTCAGCGATTTGATTGTTTTTGTCGTGTAATCACAATTTAGTTCAAGTGTGTTGTTGACCTCAGAGAGAGTTTTTTATGCTTTTCCCCAGCCTCAGCTAATTTGGATTGTAATTTCTTTAATCTGTGCCCTTTTTTTCCTGTGAGGTAGTAACGGGACACCCAGCTTAGTAACGATTGATGGGCGGAGGAGCATCTTCAGCAACGGAAGCTTCATTATCCGCACAGTGAAGGCGGAAGATTCCGGCTATTACAGCTGCATCGCCAATAACAACTGGGGATCAGATGAAATTATTTTAAATTTGCAAGTACAAGGTACAAAGTTTGAGGACTCTTTTTATGACATATTTACTATGTATGCCTATATGCAAAGAGTAAAATTGAACAAACTTAAAAATCAGCCTTTCTAAAGAGCTAATTGTTCATTTTGGAAAATGTAATGCAGCAAATCAAAGAAAATAAAAACATTCATAATCTCAAAGATGATGCTATTTTTATTTTTGCATAGAGAGAACCTAGTCAAGAATAATGAGACTGAGAAAGTCCTTGATAACTTTCACTAATTGCACAGTTTACTCTACATATGTGTAAGTGGAACCCAAAAACCACAGACAAAAAATAAGTCTAAATTGAGTTCTTTCATCTACTAATTAAACTTTTATATGCGATGTACGTTAAAAGATCACGAACTGAAACTCTAAAGGTATTGCTATAATATTTAGTTGGGTTTTTAATACAGCATATGTGGTTTTTCTTGATATCAAGCACAAAAAGTATGTGACAAATTCAAGATAGTTAAATTAAAATCATGTGTAAAATCCCAAATGGCCACTGACTGGGTTCAGGTTTGGGTAGAATAACCAAAGAGTATGCTTCTTGGGACTTAAGTGTTGTCACATTAATAAATCACAGCGAGTAAAAATAAAATCAGTATTGTCCTCAGTGGGAGCAAAGAGGAGGAGAACAATCATATTTTAAAAAAATAATGCAAAATTGGTCTGAAATTTCAAGTAAATTGGAGTCTACAGAATTCCATGGTGTTTCAGAAGATGGACATGATATCGTGACTCTAAATAGACGGGTCAGGTTTTCACGCCTTTGGGTTAATATATATGGGCCTCTCTCAGAGGAAAAGAGATGGACATTTTATGGGAAGTTTCTATATAATTTGGATAACCTGATTCTGAATTTCTTCAATGTTCTGTCCTCGGTGCTGATCCAAAATAATATTGAGGCCCGTTGGTTAGAAGTATGTTTTCTTCAAACCTTGTATGAATGTGCAAGTTCATGTACAGCCACTCAGTGGCACACCTTTGATTTCCAGAACTGAGCGTGTGTGCGTGTTCATGTGCGTGTGCGTGTGTGTGTGTGTGTGTGTGTGTTGCATCTTGGGGGAGTAGCTAAAAAAAGTGGAAATTTTTGCAATTCTTTTTCCAACTAGCCACTCTCCCCTCCCCCTTCTCCCTCCCCTACTCTTCCCTTAACCAATATCCCCTCCCCCACTTCCCCCCCCATCTCATCCCTGGGAACAGAACAGCTAAATGGATGCCATTTATCTTTCTCACTTGGTTCATGGCTGAAATTCAGAGTACTGTGAGCATCTTTAGTAAGTTTAAAGAAGATTTCAATCAGTGATGAACGACTCAGAAAATCAAGGAATGAGTGAGGAAATGAGTTAGATATAAACCCAAGTAGAAATGTGGTTGAATTTTTGTTAAATAATAGATTCACTCTGCTCTATCTCTTTAACCAAGGACATCAACTAAATAGACATTTTGACAGAAGTGAATTGCATATTTTGGCAACCTAAAACACTTATTTAATAAGTGGCTGTTAAAAATGATTTGGTAAATGGCTGTTCAAGCAGATTAAAGGTGTGAAAAACTAATTCTTGTTTTCTAAAAACTGTTTCCTGTCTAGTTCCACCTGATCAGCCTCGGCTTACGGTGTCCAAAACGACATCTTCTTCCATTACACTCTCATGGCTCCCTGGGGACAATGGGGGCAGTTCCATCAGAGGTAAGAGCAATAGGTTGCCCACAGTAGTTGACTGTCACTACCCCCAGGCTGATAAATGACACATATCCATCAAGTAATTGTTATGTGTTAGTTATAATTAATTCTCCCACCACCTAAACAGCAAGCCACACATCTATTTTTATGGTATTGACTGAAACCCATCATTCATCCAAGGCATTCCATTCACAAAATTACCATTATGCCTCCAATCTGAGTGAAAGATTAATGAAGGCAGAAAAGAAAGAATTTGGTAATCTCTCCCCCAAGATTCTGCATACTGTTTCTTCCCCATGTTGTCAACACTCCATCATTCATTCACTCCTGTATGCAATCATTCATTAAAGTAATTAGTAATTACTAATTTAACTTAATTAGTAATTAAACAGTTATTGTTCCAATTTATAAAGCACAAAAAGATGGAGAACCTAGAGTTTAGACAGGAAATGATCTATCTGCCCAAAGCTTTTGCATTGAGTCTGTAGCAGAAAAGAATAAAGGAAGTCTGTCCTGAGGAATGATATAGTGTGATAATTCTAGCCTGAGTATAGTTGGGAAAACACCATTCTGAGCAAGCTGTGGCCACAGGAAAGGAAGAGAACCTAGAGGTCCTAGAGCACATAGGAGGGGACTTCCAAAGACAGAGGACATCCCTTCTTCTGAGTGAGGAGGGTGAGCAGACAACTGGAAATAGGGGGTCATTTCAGAGTGAAGCCAGTAGTGCCCTGGAGCCAGCTCCTTCCAGTTCATGAGAGCAAGCTGTCCTATCTCTTCCCCGCCTTATACCCAGTGATTGCACCCAGGCTGAGAATCCTTACACACCCCAAAAACCAGAAAAGGTACTGGTCAGGGCTTTATTTTTTTCTTTGAACAGCCAGTTGTTAAACATTTATCAGCACTCCACTGAGAGAAAGGGAGGATCTTCCTTTTTTTTTGGAAAAGAAAAAAGTTAGATTTTTTTTTTTTTAATCGTAAGCTGATTAGGGTAAGGTTGTGTTTGTATGTTTGAAGAGTATGGGGAAGATTTGTAACAGCTACCATGTGAAATGCACAAGGAGTCATTAATAGACCAACAAAGTAATTGCCAAGAGGGAGTGAGGCCCCATCTGCGTATAAATATCCCAAATTGTGGTGGTCACAATTTCACAGTCTCATGACCTTGTCAAGTGGGGCCGGACACCTGGAAGGAAGACTGAGTCACCATTTACCAGAGCTGCTGACTGGCAGAACAAGAGTGGCCAGAGTCAGAGGAGTGAGTGAAAATAGGCTCCTGGTGGAAATGGTCTACAGAAGGTTCTAGGCTGGTTAGAGAACATTGTTATGGAAAAAAAAAATGGAGCATCGAGGGAAGAGTTCAAGGGACTCTAGGACTCAAGGCTCAAATGAAGTAGAGTTTGGGTTCTGTAAGTGTGAGAGCCTGGGAGAGGTGGTACAGGAATTGTCAGAGCAGAAGGTCTTGAAAGTGAAGCCAATTTTGGTGATGAAGAGTTTCCAAGCAAAGGCAACCGGGGGGTCCCTGAAATGCATTGGTAGCCAAAGTCATTGGCATGGGGGCTCCTGTTGCCAAGGATTACAAGAGCTTCCCAGATGCAATTCAGGTGGTGGACATTAGAAGGAAAGTGTTCTCCCCATGATGTTCAGGGCAGCAGGGAGGTGGTTTGGGCAGAGTTGGAGTGGAAGCCAGGTAATGACAGTGGGAGCATGGGGTACCCAGATCCTTCACCCAGCTGTCAGATAATGCAGGAGCTTTGAGGGGTGCAGATCAAGGATACTGAAAGAGAAAATGAGGCTCAGAAAGGAGGAGGGACCCCAAGGCAGCAGAGGGCTAGAGGGGAGGAAAGGAGCAAAGAGTAGGGAAGATGGGGTTCCTGACCACAGAAGAATCAAGGACAGGTGACCTCCGTGTGAGAGGTCTGCAAAACACTTGATGCTGCCAGTGTGGGCCTAGGAGCTTCTGTAGCGCGGAGTTGAGAAGTGCTTTGCCTGTGTTAAAAATGGAGCCCATGGGCCAGAGGGAAGATAGCAGTCCACCAGCGTGAGGACAACATGTGCCAGGCAGACTGGTCCTGGGTTGCCTGGGTGTGAATGTGGAGGAGACGGGGATAGAGAAAATAGGACCGGTTTGCCGAAATGGCTGGGGTAACAGGGATGGCAGCCATAACAAGGGGGAATATCTCAGTGATCACAAGGGCCAGGAGATCTGGCTTCAGATTCTGAAGTTGGGGTTTGAATCTTACTGACTTACAGGACCCTCAAATGGTCACCTCCCCTCTCTGCACCTCAGTGTCTTGCTCTGCACCATGGAGATAATAATCACTATGTCCTAGAATTACATGAGGTAATGAACATAGCAGGCTGAGGACAGTGCTTGGCACCTGGTGAGCACTCAAGAAAGGGACAGTTGATGTTCGTGGTCATGGAAATCCAGATGATAGTGATCATGTACAGAAATGAATTTTTGGAGGGATTTTTCAGACTAAGGAGAAACCTGGTGAACATTGAAATGTTGGGATGGCTACAGGATTTAGAGCTATTTCCTTAGTGACTGTGGACTGGGTAGGGTATGGTTGAGGAGATTCCTACCCCCTTGACAACATATCCCTTTTCCAGAACTTTGGTTCTCTTAAAAAAGAATTCAGCTCAGACCATGCTGATACCCAAGGATTCAGGCACGTATGCCCTGAGGGCAAATTTCTGGAGACTTAGTGTCCATCCTCTGCTACCTGCTACACCTTTTAAAAGGAAATGGGGAGAAAGTGGTTTTATTTCACCACACCAATTAACGATACACCATAGTAATGTCTGGCATTGCCTAAATACTAATGAGAACATCACAGCACTCCTCCCAGCCTGGGTTCAATTTCCTGGCATCAGGAAGACTTCAGATGTTCTCTTCCAAAGATGCAAGAATGATGAGAATTCTCATCCCATACAAAATGCCAACATCCACCAACCCTAGTAGAAAGGAAATAAGGCTCTTTTGAATATTTCTTGTGTTCTGTAGGATACATATTGCAATACTCCGAGGATAACAGTGAACAGTGGGGAAGTTTTCCAATCAGCCCAAGTGAACGTTCTTATCGCCTGGAAAATCTGAAGTGTGGTACTTGGTATAAGTTCACTCTTACTGCCCAAAATGGAGTGGGACCGGGGCGCATCAGTGAAATCATAGAAGCGAAAACATTGGGGAAAGGTATGTATGCCTTCTGCTGTCTGTATTTCCTCTGCTTTCCAGATTGAATGGGGGATTGCAATCACAGATGATGCGTCATGTATCTGCACACTTGTCTGTGAGTTTGAACTTTGTTATTACCAGAACGGGTTTGGGCATGTTGCAGTGTAATGAGAGAGATGGCTGGTCTTCACAGAATATCCTGGTTCTCTTACTTCATTATCTCATTTGCAGTGAAAAAGAAGAGCGTCATTTGCAAACCGAGGGCTTCAGTGCCAACATAACATGCCCCGGCTGGGTCACCATGAAATATGTCATTTACCCTCTCACCTTCTAGCATGACCTTCCCCCTCCATCACCCTATGCCCCCTCTACCCATAACTTTCCCATTGCCTCCAAGGCCCCACTTTTCAGGTGGGAAATGATTGGGGTAGACTGCTGACCTTTAATGTGAATTGGTTTTTTAATCTGAAACATGAACCTTTGAGGAGAGGAACCCCTGGGGGGTGGAAATGGCACTCGGTGGTGAAATTGCAGTCTGGGGCCACCAGTAAGGGGAGGGGTACAGTGGCACAGAGGTGTAGGTGAGGCAGTGAAGAGAGGGTCTTTGGAGCTTCCCCTCATATCTGACCCTCATCTGGTGCACAGGGCCACACTGGATAGCAAAAGAGCGAGGAATGGGAAGGCAAAGGTGCTACTTGGATTGGGCACCTGAGTTTTGGTTAAGATGCAGCAAGCGTTCAGAGGATGAGGGATTGATTTATGCAGAAATATATCCATTAGGTCCCTGGGTTCCAGTAAGAAGTGCTTGGATCGTAAGAGACACCCGTTGGTACTTCCAAAATCCAACTAGACTTCTCTTGAGTCAGGTCCATCCACACAAGAATGGAAATGGGTCAGCAGTACGGGTTCCTTCAGAATCACTCAAGGAAACACATACATGAAAATAGCACTGTTCTTCAGGAGCTCTGACATACACAACAATAACCTCTACCCACCCAATTATCCCTCTCATACTTAGGTTATTGTGGTTGGAGACAGCCCATTGGTCCATAGGTCCCTATAATAGTGGACAGATTGGGACTGGTCTATGACCCAGACTTGGACTGAGCTCCTCGCCCAGGTGGGGAAAGCAGCCAAGGGCTAATGCATGACTATGCTTATGGCCGGCATTCATGTATCCCATGAGCTGATCCCCACCGTGCATTCTCCCACAGAGCCCCAGTTCTCGAAAGAGCAAGAACTCTTCGCCAGCATCAACACCACACGCGTGAGGTTGAACCTCATCGGCTGGAATGATGGCGGCTGTCCTATCACCTCCTTCACACTGGAGTACAGACCCTTTGGGACCACGGTCTGGACCACAGCTCAGCGGACCTCTCTTTCCAAGTCCTACATCCTATACGACCTGCAAGAAGCCACGTGGTACGAGCTGCAGATGAGGGTGTGCAACAGTGCCGGCTGTGCGGAGAAGCAGGCCAACTTCGCCACGCTCAACTATGATGGCAGTAAGCTGGCTGGCTTTATGGCCCTCCCACACGTGCATGTGCTTACTGTCCCTTTCCCATCCAACATTCATCCTGGGCACAGAGTGACCAGTGCCCTCAGATCCCTTTAAGCTTCGGGGTCATTTAGCTGGCTTCCTGTGGGGCTCCCTAGTTCACTGTGTTCACGGGACCATGGCTCTGCTCTAGAAATAAGGGTCCGAGGGCCACTGGGAATCTCCTTAGGGAATCATGGTGCAGTAGTGATTTCTCTTCGGGCTGAAGGATTCTTTACCTTCCCTTACCAAACACGTGGTTCTGTGCATTTGTCAATGACTGTGTGCTAACACTGCTTTTGTTGTCTCCCCACCTGTCCCCCACCCCATCCCAACCCACATAACTCCGTCTTTGCTCTCATTTAGCCCTTAGACTGCATGTGCAGAAACAGTCTTCATGGTACAGGAGCTTCTGGTAGTCCCTGATCAGAAATGCAGGCACTGATGAAAGTAATATAATATCACAGGATGTTAGTGTGTGCCCCACCCTGCCCCTCCCTTCCACACATGTGCAATTTGCTTGGATTTTCTGAAAACCAGGAGAGGTATCTTGTGATGTTTAGTCAACCAAAAATAAACAATAGAAATTTTTATACTTTTTTTCCTACAACTAGTATCAAAGGCCATTGATTGATATCTGAACAAATGCCCAACCCAGTGAAGCTGAAAGATAGTGGGATGATTGTTAAGACGTTAGGGAACTTCAGAAAGTCTTAAATAGCAGCATGTTGGTGCTGATTTCTGCAGCTTTGCAGTGACTTTCACTCAGGGAAAAGCAGTGATTGAGTTAGGTGCTCAGTCACAAGGTAAAACCTGCCACAGTTCATCAGGATGTTGGGAGCTCCTGGCTTAGCATCCTCCCCTACCCCTCCAAGCTTTCTGGCCAACGCCACTGACCAGGTCAGACCACAGTGTTGGATAGCCTAGCCCAGAAAGTCTGAATCCGAGCAGACTAACTTTCTAGGCCTCAGTTACAAGTGATGTCATTCAAGGGTGTCCCATCCCAAAACACCCACAGGCAGAGCAGCCCTTCCTACTGGCTTTCTCCTCCAACAGGGTTTAATTCTTTGATCTTACAGAATTAAGGACTTTGACTTACCAAACACTTTACTTTGCATTTAAGAGTTCCCCAAAGTCCTCTGCCAGCAGGTACACATTTGGGCAGTAAGCATATTTCTTACTTTAGCATTTTGGCTTACATGAAGTGACTTACGATAATCACATGCTGTCACGAAGTTTCTGTATAATGTAGATGCCAGAGCGTGGGCTTCAGTGTGCACATTGGTGATATGGTCATGCTAATCTTTTAATTAGAAACCACTCGCAAGCAGAATTTGAAACTGTGACTCAAACTTGGAGAGCACTCTGCAGAATTTAAATGCTTGTCTTCTTTAAAAAAAAAAAAAATGATGCTCTCATTTTATCCAGGATCTTAGATTATAATCATGCAAAAGTTCTGTGAGCTACATTTAAATTCCTGAAATCTGAAATAACTTTATTACACTAGGAAATAAAATTACGTATTTATATTTTCCTTGAAAAGGATCATGGATTTCTTTGAACCGATCTCATGGATATAGAGCTTTAATATCTCTTTTGTCCTATCTGACTGAAGATTTCCCTTTCATTTAGGGAGAAACAAACATTGACAGTTAGCCTCACACCTATACCAGTCAGATCTCAGATTCTTCCATGTCTGTATTTGACTCTTTCTTCTGCCATTTCCTTAGCCAAACGTTTGCACGTGTGCCTGTGCTGCCTTAGTTTTGCAGACCAGCTTCCCCTGCATCCTCTTACGTGGGTTCTGAGCATCTGCAGACGTGGGTTTCCGGCTGAAAATATGGCACATTTGGAAGAACCCTTTTCTTGACCTGGGCTGATAACATAGGGGACTAGGATTCAATTATCCTGCTCTACTTACTAAGTGCAGGATAAAGACCACTTTTGCTCAGGAGGAAATTGCATTATTTTTGCATTATTTTTCCTAAACAATTGACTTCCTGGCCCTTGTTTTACATGCAAAATACAGTGGGATGGAACATCTTATGTAATGGAAGGTGCCAAAATGCATGCCCCGTAAAGTGCAGATGTATGTTTGAAACTCTGCACCTGTTGTATTCAGCCTCTGCCTAGAAAGCAGCTTCAAGTAGCTCAGAGTTCAGTCTACTTAGGTGTTTCCTTATAATTCTAAATAATCTGAATTTCCTAACGCTGTATAATAATGTCTGATCACTAAGGAGCTTGCTTTGGAGACTCAGATGCTGCCTCTTTGAAAAGTTGTCTGCAGCTCTTACACCCTAAAATGAGAGTTTCTAAAGTAGATAAAAAGCAGGTGAATCACCAAACCAAAAGGGACGCTAAGCTTCTTTAAGCCAGTATATCTGGTACAGTCTCCCTGCAGACTCCTGTCCACTGGCCAGACCTATTGTTCCTCCTTTGATGTGCAGGTTTTCAAGCAGTTGTACTATGGGTGACAATTCCAGCGAAATGCATGTGGCTTTTTTAAGCACCTAGCCTGGACATTGTGCTTTCAAGTGCCTGCACCTAGCAGTACATTGCAAAATGAAGTCCCTTTCAAAGAAATGGGCTCCAGCCTTTGTGCAAATCCTGATTTGATGTTTTGTCAAGTAGGTTGCAAGTTGGGCAGAGGAGGGGCATGAGAAAGTAAATCAATGAGCCAGGACCTAGGTAAAGAACACCTTTCATTTCTCATCACCCTGGACACCCTTGGATCACACAGTGCGCCTCTTGTAACCATCATCCCTAAACCCTCCGCCATGCTGTCTTCATTAATAGTCATCTAACACCATGGCCCTGCTTTCAGGTACAATCCCTCCACTCATTAAGTCAGTTGTCCAAAGCGAAGAAGGCCTGACGACCAACGAGGGGCTTAAGATGCTCGTGACCATCTCCTGCATCCTGGTGGGGGTCTTGCTGCTGTTTGTGCTCCTGCTGGTGGTGCGGAGGAGGAGGCGGGAGCAGAGGCTGAAGAGGCTGAGAGGTGAGTGGCAGCCCTGCAGTCACCTGCTCACACCACTGGACAGCCGGACTGGCGGGCGCTACCGCCAAGGAAAAGGGCTTTTATTCTCTAGGCCAGGTTCCCCAACTGCCAGACTCTGTGCCGCGCCTTCAGCAGGGCCGCAGAGTCTTAGGGGAAGAGTCGCACGGATGTTACTACGCAACACAATCAGACATTGCGGGAGGGTCAACTTCACACTGGTCTCCTAAATCCTAGAAATCAGCAGGCAAAGACAGTTATTTTCTCATGGGTCTTTCAACTCTGCTCGCTTTTTTTTTTTTAAAGATTTTATTTATTTATTTGAGAGAGAGAGAGAGAAACAGTATGAGAGGGGAGAAGGTCAGAGGGAGAAGCAGGCTCCCCGCTGAGCCGGGAGCCCGATGTGGCACTCGATCCCAGGACTCCAGGATCATGACCTGAGCCGAAGGCAGTCGCTTAACCAACTGAGCCACCCAGGCGCCCTCTGCTCGCTTTAATTCTCAGCCATTGCAGCAAGGCCATCAATTATGGCGTCCTTTAAAAAGACCAATCACATTTGCTGTGGCAATGAGAACTATTTTATTGCCAGGAAGTGGAAATTGAGGGCTTATGGGAAAGCACTGTGAGGCAGAAAACACACACTTTCCCAAATTAGAAATGTGAGCTAAAGCTCAGTGTAAGAGTTTCACTCAAACAACAAAAAAACCATGGAAGACAAGAGCCTCAGCCGGACGAGAGCCATTGTGAGCAGGCACCGTTATTATTATGTCCAGCTCGGTGAGGTCCAGGTGACGAAGCTATTTCTAGCTTCTGGCCAAGAGCCCTTCCTTACCCTTGCTCTGCAGTGTGAGGAAAACGAGCTTTCTCCAACATGAAACCCCATGCAGGAAGAGTGGTTCTGAGTCCTTTGCTTTTCATCTGTCAGAGTATTTAACGAAGCCCCTTTTTTGTTAAAATGCATGGACACGATGTTCGCATTTAATCAGTCCAGTGTGGAGTAATGTCAGGTGGCATCCTGCATATTCCTCAAAGTTACATCTGAGGAACAAGTCTGGAAGCCCAGTCCCCAAGACCTATCTGTGACATCCCCAGACATCGCTGATACAAACAGAAAACATTGACATCTTCTGCAAACACTTCAGTTGGCTATCATCTCATGAGAGCAGCAGAACATGGTGAAACTTTCTCTTGTCTGTGCTTATGCGAAGCTTTTCTCTTTATGTGGCCCTAACACAGTTTCCTATCAATTTGCTTCCACTTAACTGAAAAATTAAAATATTTGAAGTACATCACACTTCGTCTGTACATGTTAATAGCCCTTCCATTTAAATCTCCCACAGCCCCATCATTCAGGTGAGCCACCAGTCTCATTGAAATATCCTTGCTAAATTCTGTTAACCACTTATTTAATTTTGCAGACTTACCCTAGTAAATCCTATATATCCTAAGCGCCATGCTTGATGCTTGATGTACCAAGATGAAGAGAAAGAGCCTTCTGAACTTTGGGTTTAGTGTGGGAGGCAGACACATGAGCATCTACCAGGAAAAGAACAAAAATGTCATGAATATTAAAATAGGGCTTCAAATAAATCCTACATACGCTCAAAAGAAGGAGCAATTAATCCCAACTGGGGAGAGAAAGGGATGCCATCTAAGAACTACGTAAGAGCAACATATTGCTTAATATGTTGAGAAATCCACTATAAGGTGAACTGTGTTGGATTACATTCACAAGTGCTCATCCCTAAGATACCAAAAGGATGTTTTTCTAACCCTTTCACAGACAACAGAATCCCATATTCTGGACTTTACAGACAATATTATTGAGGAGCCAATAACTGACAGACCAACAAGGATCTGTCCTTGTTGCATTTAGATGGCCAGACCTAACTAGCTGCATTTCAGAGGTTATGAATTGTTCATGTAACATCTTCTAAAACCGACAGTAAATTTTTTTTCTTAATCATTTCCATTTGATCACAAGGGTTTGGCAGCAAATGCATTAAACGTGAAGGTACTCCTTCCTGGTATTCTACCACCCTCTGCCAAATTCACCATTCCTTTTCCCCCCGTTCTATTGAATTACTCCTTCCTTCCCAGCTGTTGTTTAATTTGCCCTATTCTACTCATAATCTAAGCACCCCAGTCTCTAAAGATTCTGAAGATGCCTCTAACCCTTACCAACATATTGTGCTGTACTGATGGTGGGCCCATGCACCTTTATCATTTTTCTTAACAATGTCTTATCATTCAGGGATTGTTTTTGCAAGGGCTCCCGCCAGAAAATATCCTGGGACTGGTATTGTTACTGTGGACATCTCTACTCCTAGACACCAGTATTTCATAAAGGCTTTTGGTAAAGAAAGCAATACATCACATCAGAGAGCACAACCTTTCCTTCCCGGAAACGGTTTTGTTTTCTTTGTGCCCGAGGAAAGACAGAGCCCGCACAAAGGTTTCAAGCAGGAAGAAAACAAATACTGTGGGAAAGAGTGTTTATTTATGCAAGATGCTGGGGAGCAAAGAATTCCAGGAAAGCAGATTGCCGAAGTACAGAAGTGTCTGCTGTCTTGCATTTTGCATGCGCTTCGCAAAGCCTTCCAAACCCAGAGTCGGACAAGAAGGCAGTGAGAATGCAAAGGACCGGGCATCCAATTCCACATGCTTCCTAACAGCACATTTTATTTATTTATTTATTTATTTATTTAATTTTATTATGTTATGTTAGTCACCATACAATACATCATTAGTTTCTGACATAGTGATCAGCACATTTTAATGCGGACGCACAGAATTAAATTCAAATCAACAAACCACATCTGCCATGTGCTGGCCATCACCGTTTTTAAAACGAACATAAAATTTTCTTATTAACCACTTCTATATCTTGAGCACAAGGGTTTGGTTAGGTCCCAAAGAGAAAAATGAGGACTACAACCCTGTCCCAGAACCACAGAAGCTGACACTCTAGTGGCAGTGAGTAAAGGCTTACAATAGACAGACATCTTTCTCTAACTGTGAAAAGTGCACCATGAAAGGACAGAGTAGGTGACATAGGTTATTGGGGGCAGGGGGCTGGTCTTGCCCCCAAAACATCTCTCTTTTAGTCCAGCAGAGCCCACACAATGTTAATTAATGACATAAAATGTTTCCAACTCACTCATAGAGGAAAACTGTAGCCAGAGTTTAATGAAGTAGGTGCCTACCTATTAAACAGAGCTCAGTGGTAGAGCCACCTAGTTACAATCTGACCCACATAAGGCACAGATCCTGTGCCTGGATTAGAATGAGTTCAAATATATTTACAGATTCAACAGAAAGGGTTGTGTCATACAATATTTTTATTGTCCCAAATAAAGAGATTTCTAATAATATGTCAGTGTTGCTTGAACAACCACCGATAAGGATCAAAACTGGAAATAAAATTTGGATTATAGAAAAATATTGTGGGATTCCTAATGGACACTGTTAGAGTTACTATTTAAGGTCAATTTCATATTTTTTACCTTGTTTGCTAGATGTTTATAAGCAAGGTATGTTTTACCATGTAGACAAACAACCTAGTTAGGTGAATATAACATAACATTCTTTTGGGTAAAAATGAAGAAAGAAGGAAGGAAGAAAGGAGGGAGGGAGGGAGAGAGGAAAGAAGGAAGGAAAGGAAAGGAAAGGAAAGGAAAAGGCAGATAGGACTCAAGCAATTTAGCCAACCTATATTTCTTCCTTCCTGAGAACTTTACTAATTTTAGAGCATAGCGACCTCTTAAGTCTAAATTGTCTGCAAGTGCTACATTTTTTTTTTTAAATCTGTAACCTTATCCAGGAGTCCAGAAGCCACATTTCGCTTGTAATCATGCCCTGATTTTTCCCCACTTCTAAATCCTTCGAAGTGCAAGATTACAGAACAAATCTCTGGCTGGGTCCATAATCCCAGAAGCCCTAACCTTGTAAAAATTTGATTCCCACATCAAGTAATCAACACCAGTATCACTAAAAACTTCCTCCTTTAGTGTGAGTCTACCCAAGAAGGTGCAAAGTTACGTTGGCACCAGCCAGTTGGGTCAACTGGCATGCCAAGCCTAAAAGCTACTTCTGGAACTTCAAATAAACTAAAGATAAAAATCAATGGAGGATATAAATTTTGACCATGCTTCTGTGGCAAATGCCTTTCTTCCTGTGAACAGAAGCCTAGTTATTTTAAGCATGCTTTGAAATGGGTTAATATTATAAAAACAGATCAGTTCCGGAAGGCCATTCCCAGAGAGAATGTGACCTCGTGGTTCTACATGGGCACAGGTGAAGGGGCGGGCCATGAGGGATGGCCAGCGTCTGCTGAGCTCCAACATCCCATACATCTGTTCTGCAAATGAGCTAAATGCTTTCTTTAGTTGTAAGACCAAAAATTCGCTTGAACTTTAATAATCTAAAGGAAGAGCAGTGTAGAGACTTCTTCACCAAGCTAATGAATGTCCAAACTGTGGTTTATTTGAGATCAGAAACATGTGCTCTGAAACTTCATTTCTCTTCCTTCCTTCCTCCTTCCTTCCTTCCTTCTTTTCTTTTTTTTTCTTTTTTTAAGCCTTAATTTCTTAATAAAATTATTCTTTCAAAACTCCAAATTTGCAATAGGAGAATTGAGTAAAAGGGGTCTCTGTATCAGAGTGGGGAGCAAAGGAGCATTAGGATGGCAGCAGGGCCAAGCCAAGGGCAACCAGTGGAGCGAGGTACAGAAAGCGAGTAGTCAGGACGGGGAGAGTTGGCATCAGCCCTGGTGCCTTGCCCCGCCTGGGTGTTCTAGTTGGTCCATGTTTGTACTTGCAATTTTCTTAGAGTGCAAGTATATATTGTTTTCTTTTTTGGATATTTATTTAGTTGTTGTTTTTGGATCACCTTTCATAGCATGCTGATGATTGGAAGTCCTATTTGTCATCTGGTAAAAAAACATAAATGCAGGCTCATAGCTCTTACAAAAAGAGCTACTTTATGAGACCCATTTCAATTCC